ATAAAATTTTTTCTCAAATTAACTATGTTATCTTTTGTGCAAAATATATGACATTTATATTCAAAATATTCCTGGTCTTACAAGGAATCCAGCAATGTCAATTATATTATCCTAACTTTAATCTGAGGTATTATTTAATACTAAATGTTAAAAACTCTGGAAGGGAGGATTGGTGGGGGGTGGGGGGGAGGGTTGGGACTGACCGCGCGGTTGGAAGAGGGGGGAGGCAAGGTGGGGTACTTTGATTGACAGATAGTGTCGTGAAGATTATTTTTTTTTTTATTAACTGAAGATATTTGTTTTAGCTCATAAAATTCATACAAATTACCCGGTCAGAATATAATTTACATTGCTGGAATTCTTATAATTTGGTGATCATTTTGAATATAAACATCATATATTTTGCATTAAACATACAAATTTTAGATAAAATTTTTTCTCTAGGTAACTATGTTATCTTTTGTGCAAAATATATGACATTTATATTCAAAATATTCCTGGTCTTACAAGGAATCCAGCAATGTCAATTGTATTATCCTAACTTTAGTTTGAGGTATTATTTATTAAAATTTAGTGGTTTTTCCCCAAGCAGTGTAGTGTGAGAGGAGGGAGTTGAGTCCATTATTTGAATGGACATTAACTTGGCGACTGTATTTCTCTATTTCTCTTAAGTATTAATTGTGTGCATGTACCATCATAAAATTAAGATGTTATTTTTACTACAACATAGGTATGCGCCTTCAAAAAGTGGAGTTTGGGGGTCGGGCCGGTTTCTATTGGAATTAATCCCATATGTTCTGTTGTTCACTTAACGCGGATTTCACTTAACGCGGGACCCTCTGGGTTCAATTGACCGCGTTAAGTGGGTTACAACTGTACAGATATATTAGTGTAATAATCTGTTATTATTAATACATGTATCCTTCATATACAATACAGTATACTACTATGTATATACCTCATAGGTAAAAAATAATGTCATTCAAGACTTATTCAGATCATAAGACCCACTAATCTCCCACCCAACACTGGGTGACCTGGCGTTGCATCAGGTCAGGTTAGTAACGTGACCCAATAATCACCCGCCCAACCTTCATTGCAAGTGTTAAGACATAATTAGTTATGTATTACAGTAGAGTCAATTGAGTGAAGTGTGTAATATAGACGTGACAGATCGCCCAAGCGACTAACGAGCTTTCTCACTCCATATTTATCACAATCTTTCTAAAAATACTTTAGGTTTCATGTTTATTCAAGACATGTTCAGGTCATGAGACCCACTAATCCCCGGCCAAGAAAGGGTGACCTGACATTCCATCAGGTCAGTAATATGAAACCACTAATCCCCCAACCTACCTCCAGCTGACATTGAGTCAGGTCAGGTACACGAGACCCACTAATCCCCCACAGCTCCATGGGAGTGGAAAATATCAGTCTTTGCTGTAACACACAGCATCATAAATGCCCATATCATAAAGATTTTTTATTTAAAAATATATTTATTTTACCAGACTTTTAGGCAAACTATTCTGGATTATTATAGTAAAGAAATGGAGTTTCTAACTTAATTAGAACTGCATTTACAGACTTCGGTAGTTTAGAATCAAGGAAAACATCCCCAGCACTCAGAAACATTCTGGGGAAGTGGGCTAGTGTCTGTGTGTGCAAGAGGTCTAGTTCAGACACTCGGAAACTTTTCCCAGTAACCGGAAAAGATTCTGGGGCTAAGAAATTTTTCAGGGTTTGAGAAAGTCGTTTGGTTAGCCAGAAATCTCTCATCCCCGGAAGTGCTCTGCACCAATTGTTCCGGCTAATGGGGATATCACTGTACAGTATACCTTATCAGTCTAGTTGTGAAGTTGTCTACAAGTCTGCAACTCATTTAACAGTGCTTTGTGGGCTTTTCTGTTAACAAATATTTCAATAATATCATAAAGGATTAGGTCTCTTTCAAGTTTTGATTCAGTGGCCAATGTTCCTAAATCTGTGAGGCTCTCTTGACACACAGTTGACTTGAGGCAGTTTTTAACATGAACCAGTGCTGAATGACATCTCTGCTTCAGTTACAGTCACTGGAAGAGTGCAAAAGATATGCAGAGCTACACAACAATTTAGAAATAAGTTTGAAATTTTAAGCTCATGAATCAATTTAGAAGACCCAATGGTTTCAAAGTAATTTATCTAAAGTTAACCAAATTAAATGATTTCAAATATTTCACCTCTTCACACAAATCTGTTGTGACATCACCACTGTACTCTACAATGTTAGATCAGTAAGAAATTTACCAATGACGTTTAAAGGTGCTGTTTACAAAAATGCAATACTGTATACTGTACTGTACTCACAAGAGCAACATCCTCCCACTTTAAGATCATGAGAGTAACTGAAGGGATTCCATAGGCCAATATTCGAGGCACAAGTATATCGGATGAGCAATCATAGTGTTGCCAATACAATATTGCTTTTTTTTTTCCAAATAAGCTGAAATCCCATTCTATGACCAATCCTGAAAAAGAATGTCTTAGATTCCTCCTCTGGGTTTCCTTAAAATTGGATGGAAGTAAGGTGGTTCTGCAGTACCACTCTGTGACTGGATTTATCAAATGAAAAGTGAGTTACATATTGTTGCAGCTGCATGACTCTGTTACTCTTCAGCCTTCAGTGGTCATGATGGTTATTAATTGGACTGGGTTAAACAGGTCTCAAGGGATCTGGGATCAGTCTATAAATTAATTATGTAGTAAATTGAACCAGAAATGCAATTGTCTAATCCAAGTTATAGAGTCCATTAAAGTCACACTGCTTTTCTTTGAACTAGAACCACATCTTAATCAAATGTGGGAAATCATTAACTGAGTCTAAAGTTCTGTTGTGATGATTTTGAGTAGTTAAGGCAATGAATGACTGGACACAAGTGGTAAAAACAAACAAATAAAGAGACAACCCAGGGTCATAATCCTCCTATTACAGTGGCAGAGACATAGCAACTGCATCCCATAAAACTAAATAATTTATATGTAGTTTAGTTCCTGTAATTGTGTGTGCTGATGCATTATACAGGTACTGTGCTGTACTGTGCTGTGTGACAAAATCTGCTATAATAAAAAGGCTACAAGGATGAATGGTGAAGCTACTCACATTAAATATTTTCTGTTTTATCACTATCTATCTCTTTTAAATTATGCTTCACAAAGCACCTAAGGTTATAATCAATATACTGTACAGTGATTTGTTTTTAACAGAGCAAAACTGCAATTCAGTATTTGGAACATTTAAAAAATATGATGCAACACAGTGCAGTATTACATGTGTCCTTGTATGCTGTAAATAATTTATTACTCCAACCATCTACACAACCTGAAGCTGCAGGTGCTGATTAAATTTTTATTTAGACAAATTATAAGATAACCTTTAGAAATATGAAAGCCATAGTTTGGAGTCCACTCAAGAAATACTATACCTTATGACATATTTGAGGTTTCCAAGCAACTCTTTCATTTTTATCATTAACTGTAAAGATGTCATAGGAAACTCTCTGAACCACCTCATGCTCCACAGCAGGTCCAAGGGTAAGAGGTTTTCTCTTTATTTTCTGTTGTGTCAACCCAGTAACAACAGGTGTATTAGAAGCATTTGGAGGAGCTTCTGTGCCAGTTCTATTGGCCCCTGTTCCACAAGACGTTTCTTGAATTTCCACAAGGCATTCTGCATAAGCATCCGAACACATTCCCAGAGATAGAGAATATGGTGTGTAAGTGTTGGTGCCAACTTTTGGCTCATTCCCACTTGATACATTCACTTCTGATGTAGCTTCACCAGCAGTAACTGCAAATAAAAAAAAAAAATGAATACTGTACAGTGACAACATTCCGCTTCAGAGAGGAAAACTCCTAAAGTTTACTTAAAATTACAATACAGCAACTCCCCGACTTATGACGGGGTTAGGGACCCAAATCCAGGTCGTAAGTCAAATTGGCCGTAAGTAAAAAATGCGAAAATAATACATAGAAAATCTAAAATGGGTGTCTCTTTTTCTTCTCAGCACCACAAAACTCTCACTTTTAAGCTTGCCAGCCATTTATAAGGGAATTACAAAAAAAAAATTTGTCGGTACACAGCGCAATCACAAACGTCGGGACTCGAAAATACGTACATAATTTAAAAAATTTTTGGTACGACTGGGGCGGTCGTAGGTCGAGTAGGTCGTAAGTCGAGGAATACCTGCATATGTTAAGCACATTAACCAAACTGTTTAAGTTTGGTGTTGTTTTTGTTGTTACTATGCTGAATACTATACCACTCCAAGGTGGTCATCAATTATAATTATCACAGGTCTAAATTTTAATTTATTCAGTTTATTCACAGAGAATGTTTGCTCACATACAGTATTTCATGTAGATCCCCAATGGAAATGTGGGCAAGATAAATCTTGATAAAACCAAACAGGAAAAGGGGAAACACTGGAGCACCTTAGCTTTTGTCTTTATTCAAGACATCTTCAGAGGCAACTGAATTTAAAGAGACTGAGAGAGGCTTATATACAAAGGGTGACCTTACATAACATCAGGTCAGGTCAATAACACGGGATCCACTAATCCACACACCACCTCCACCGCACGAAAGAAGAGCTTATAGAAAATGAGCGATGTAACAAGTCAGGTCAAAACATGAGACCCACTAATCATCTACCTTACATCCTCCTCAAATGCTTTCAAAGATTTTTTAGCCTTGGGTCACTGATAAATAAATTGTCACAAACTAGAGTAAACTTCTAACTTTGTGTTATAATAGCATACTGTACAGGCTGAAAATATATGACATCTATGAATAAACATATTTTTATATCACTGAAGCAGTGACGTCACTCATGAGTGGCTGCCCGATCACCACGAGCCATGGGAATTTCATAATTATTCTTTCTCTACTTTTCTTTAAGAAGCATCAATTAAACAATTAAAACAAAGAGACAAACAGACTTAAACTAACCAAGCACAGTATGTGACATAACTGTCAAGGTCACTCTCCTCCATTGTCTCTCCTCTGCCTTTATCTTTCCAGGTGCTGTCTCTTCCCCAGCCACTCACTCTCTCTCCAGACTCCACATGTCATAAATTTTCACATCTAAGCTGATGGAAAGATGTGATTTCTTGGGTGCAGTAAAGTACAAGCTGGACTGTTTGCAGGACATTTTCCAGGAATGATGGTGACTTTTTTTTTTTTTTTTTTAGGCTCAATCCATGGAGCAGCACTAGATGTTGTCATTAAGGTAGAAAGTGTGAAATATTCTTTGAGCATGAATCTTTATTTTTGAAAAAGTATGAGTATTAAGAAGCATATAAACTGGGAAGAGTAACTAACCTGAACTGTTCCAAATGCAATGGATCAAATTACAGGTCAATAAGGTCAAGTTGAAGTTCAACTGGGAATTTATCAACATCAAATGAGGAAGGGGAGGCGGGTAAGGAGAGGCGGCCAAGGACATGTCATTCTCAATCAGTTTGAAATCATAGAATTAGTGAGTAAATTCACTATGTAAGTCAAGTACAGTACTAACAAAGAATCCCTTACAAGGATTTCATCACAAACAGTTATCTGCTGCAAAGTGGGCTAATTGCTTGTTTCCTACCTGACAAAATAAAATACTGTACAGGGCATATGGGGAGAGAATTCAGAACGTTGATCAAGGCAGCTTCACTCCTCGGGTGTTCACAACCTCTGGTGGGATGGGACCAAGTGCAAGATGTTTCTACGCCAGACTCGCGGAGGTGATATCCGAACAGAAGCAGCAGCCCAGAAGTTATGTTATAGCCTGGTTGAGATGTTGACTGTCCTTCTCTCTCCTTAGGTCTGCATTGCTCTGCCTCAGGGGAACGAGAGCATCGGCCCCCAAGCCGACAACAGTCGCAGGTAATAAAATGGCAGCGTAGGTGTGGCTATTGGGGGAGGCTGGAGGCCACATTAAAAAAAAAAACCCAACCCTACAACTCCTACTGTACTACATTGCTGTCACTCAGAATCAAATATGACGATCATCCAGCTATGATACAATGATATGAGTTATTAACCCTTACGTCCCGGGTGACGTTCCAGAACACTCACCTTTTCCCGCCACTGTTTAAATGCCCAGCGCGAGTTATCAGGTTCCAGTGTGACTATTTGCCTGTCACGCCACACCTCGGCCACAGGGAAGCTTCCTGAACGTAATTCCCTACTTTTGTTTGTTTCATTTTGTTTGTCCATTTTATCATGTTGTGTCAAAGTAATATTACTAAAAGCAGTGTAGTTGTATTGTAGTGTAGTATTACTGGAAAATAATGCTATGATTATGTTATAAATGTATTTATTCGTGGAATTATTGTTCCAATAATTATTTCTATGCCTTACTTGCTCTCCCAAACACAAAGACAACCAGACAGCCTGGTGACAGACTGGGTGTGTGTCGCCTAGCAGTTTTTATGAAAAATAATGTAAATAAAATAAATTCTAAATGAATTATTTATAGGAAATAAGTATTACGATCAGTAAATATATGCATTACTGGCCACCCCGGACACAAAGGCAAGCAGTAAATGGCCATGAAGTGAGTATGTGACCACGAGCGCTCGCGTCAAAACAATGCCGTCCCCTTATATCCCTCACTCTGCACTGCCATTTTTCCGCCAGTGCAGACCCAGGGAAGTTTCTAGAGGGTCAATATATAGTTTTTCTTGCGTCTTTTTTATTGTTTTATCATTTAAAAAGGCTAAAAATTATTTTTGGAAAAGTTGATTTTTCTCGATTTACCCCATGTAAGGGGGGTATGGCCAGCGGCACCCTGCCCGGGGCATAGGGGTTAAACCTTTACCATTGCCCGCCTGCGTTATGTTTACTATTCGTCAGGTGACTGTAAAGAGGTGCTTTTGTAGTCTACTGTCATCCATGCGGGTAATATGGTCAGTACAACATAGTCGTTCATGGCTAATGGTAGCCTCGATGCTTCTACAGTACGTTGGTGTCAGCGAGAATACTGGCATTTCTTCTCGTCTTCCCAGCACACTCGGAACCACCTCTCCCAGTGCCGGGGAGAGACGGGTCTTACTGTCTCTCTTTGGTGCTGGGAGGGGGGGGGGGGTAGCATGGAGGGGACATCCTCTCCTTCATGGAGGAAGCCGGTCTTTTACAAAAGCTTGACTTTTTTCTATTCTGTGTTTAAAAAATTTTTTTAGTAAAGTTCTGTTATTTGCTACTAATTTGTTTTACATTGCATTATTTGATTTTAGTCTTTTAAGCCCTTCTTTTAATTCAGCAACATATGACCTAAGCTGTTGATCACCAGGGATGACCTAAGCTGTTGATCACCAGGGATGACCTAAGCTGTTGATCACCAGGGATGACCTAAGCTGTTGATCACCAGGGATGACCTAAGCTGTTGATCACCAGGGATGACCTAAGCTGTTGATCACCAGGGATGACCTAAGCTGTTGATCACCAGGGATGACCTAAGCTGTTGATCACCAGGGATGACCTAAGCTGTTGATCACCAGGGATGACTTAAGCTGTTGATCACCAGGGATGACCTAAGCTGTTGATCACCAGGGATGACCTAAGCTGTTGATCACCAGGGATGACCTAAGCTGTTGATCACCAGGGATGACCTAAGCTGTTGATCACCAGGGATGACTTAAGCTGTTGATCACCAGGGATGACCTAAGCTGTTGATCACCAGGGATGACCTAAGCTGTTGATCACCAGGGATGTAATTATCACAATCAATCAATCAATCAATCAGTCGGAGGATGGAACTGCCTCCCCGCTGCCATACAGCAGGGCGGGGAGGACCACTGCTCGATATACGTGCAACTTTGAAGATAATTTCGGCTACTTACAGCTGAAGACACGGGTACAGAGTCTGCCAAAGGCTTGAGATGCACATCCGATCTGATGTTAATCTCTTCATTGATGTCTGCAGTAGTGGACAGGTGGGAGCCAAGATACTGAGAATGGGTAACATTAGAGAGGGTAGTACCATTAACCTGGATGGATGGTGGAGGTGTGGCTGAACCAGGGGCAGGTTGAAAGAGAATCTGACTCTTACATACATTCACCTCAAGGCCGAAGTGTGTATACGCATCTGTATAGGTGCTTAGGATCTCCTATAGGACGTGTTCAATATGAGCGTCGAGGGTGAGGTTGTTTGCAAACTGAAGTTCAGTAATGGAAGCTGCCAGCACCTTTGTTCCTGCCTAGAGTCATCTTATGTTGAAAAGACCCTTCATTCGGTACTGGTTGTCCACCCCGCCGGCTAAATTGGCACTGACACGAGTAAGGAAGACAGCCAAGAAAATGGAAAAAAGAGTTGGTGCCAGTACACACCCTTGTTTAACCCCCATTTGGATGGGGAAGAAATCAAACTGGGTGCCATTGTGCAGGACACTGCCATTCATGCCATCATGGAGTTGCCTCACAATGGCAATGAATTTCGATGGGTAACCAAAGCGACTGAGGGCTTCCATAATGACCAAGTTGAAGGCCTTGGTTAGGTCGATGAAGGCCATGTACAGGTCACGACAATGTTCTCTGCACTTTTCCTGTATCTGGTGGGCAGCAAAGATCATGTTAGTGGTGCCATGTGATGGTCTAAAACCACACTGAGATTCTGGGGGGAAGTTTTCAGCTTCAGGAAGAAGTCTGTTTTGGAGGACTCAGGTGATAATCTTGCCAGCTACGGACAACAACGAGATCCCGCGGTAGTTGCCCAGTAGGGAGAGGATGAGATCCGTGAGGCAGCAGCAACCCCCCTGGGGCATGCTGTATCATATAATACTGTACTCTACAGTATTTCTTAA